TAATAATTTCTATAAATTAAAAAGGTTGAGGTGTCAAGCACCCACCCCTTCCTATCGCTAGTCATGTTCCACTTACTCGGGGTCACATAATTGATGCTTTGCCTAGGTCACACAAAGTCTTACATCACATTATTTCCTTAAAAATATTAAGAATGCATATCTCTAAAATCTTTTAACACTCCAAGTATTTATTACTCATGAATATAAGTACCTTCACTTCTTTAAACATAATTTTTCATCTTTTAATGTTTAATATATGAAATATCATTAAGCAATCTAATTTTATACATGCACATACATTATGTTTTCTTTTCCACATAATAATCATTCATATATTTTAAATAACTTAAAAGATTCAAATAAAAACCAAGAAAAGATTGAAACACAAAATCAGGCTACCCCAAAACACTAGCCATAATAGTCTTGTTGTTTTGAGAAACGGTCTAGTCATTTCTTAAATTGTTCTAATTATTTCTTAAAACAGCTCGCTCATTTTTTCCACTGGAAAATTCCCCCCTTTTTTTAATAGAACAACACTCAATTTTCACAATTTTTAATATCTAAGAACTCATTTTTCCTTCTAGTTTTTTTAATTCAAAACTTAATTTCATCACATTCCTAGTGTTATATAATCATAATTATGCATTCCTAGTGTTATATAATCATAATTATGCATAAGATCATATAATGATCACTCCTAGAATATTTATCTGATTACTCGATTCTAGTTAGGGTTTTACCATTAGATTTCTCTTTAATTTATTATTTAATTTTCATAATTACTTTTTATTACATCATTATTCCAGGAAATCTTTGAAAAATATAATAAATTTTCCTCAATTACATGAACTCTAATTTTACAAACAAAATCAGGGCATTTCCTTTCCTCTTTAGAATTGAGTAAACCAGAAGAATAATAACGTTAATGCATATTGCCAAATAATCTTGAATTCACAAGATGACTTTTTGAATATTTTATTGATTGATTTCCCTTTCTTCTTCTTCTTCTTTCAACTTTTCTTTAATTTCGTATTATTTTCTTGATTCTTATGTACTTAATTCTTTTACTCCTAATTTTTCTTTGTGTTTCTCTTAATTTTTTGTTCTGGCGTGTTCTATCTCAAAATCAACAAGTCAAAGAGAGTTCTCCCCTCTTATTCTCCTTTTATTTTTAGAGTGATGGTTACTTTTTTTTTTACAAGAGAGAATTTTTTATTTATTATTATTTCCTTTCTTGGCTTATTTTATTTTTAACCCTTGACCAGGTTAAATCCTAGTGTTCCGCCACAATTCATTTTCTTTATAAAATTTTGGTTTTCTCCCCTTTTTTTTTAAGGAGTTTTACAAAATACCTATATCCTGAGACTGAAAAATAAAAAAAATTAAATTTTTATACTACAATTGATTTTTTGAAATATTAAGGAACCGAAATGTTATCATTTAAAAAGTAAAAGGATCAAATTTATCATTTTTTTTCTTTTTAGTCTTAATATATTGTTATATATAATTCTTGATTTATTTAATAAAATAAATATACGAGTTTTTTAATTTATAACTGAGATTTTTGTATATAAAAAAATGAGTCTACAAAGCTTGAATTGATAAAAGAAAAATAAAAAGTTAGACAATAATAAAAGCAAAAAAGTTGAGAAATAATTGGGAATAAAAAGCCTTATTTTTACTTGAAAGTTGATAAATCATAAATTCATCATGTGAAAGTTCTTTTTTGCCAAAAATAAAATGCTAAAGCTTGTTCATATATATGATCTGATTCCTTCATTAATTTCATGTAGAATAGTTTGAATAATTGTTAGAAAAATGACACATATTTTTATTCAATTTCATATTTTTGGAGAATGAAATTAATAAGATGAAAAAAAATCATAATTACTAACTTAATTTCAAGGGAAGTGGTTCTTCTCTTAAATATTTTTATTGAATTACTTCTCTTTCCATTTGACTTTATACTGAAATATCTTTAAGAGGTGTAATCAAAAGGACATAGGGGTTTTGTGCAAAGTATAGCCTAAATATCTGTTAGTTCGGGGTTTCCATTTTTGGACAAAACAACTTAAAATAAAAACTTAAATTATTATTTGCGTTTGCCGGGAGTCGAACCCGGGTCTATTGCTTGGAAGGCAATTATCCTGACCGTTGGACTACAAACGCTTGTTTATTTCTGGTCAAATATATAATAAATTTAAAATGTTTAGCATCACAAGCTGCATTGGCATCAGAACCACCATATTCTCCGGTGAGGGGTGTGTTTTTTTAATGAATTCCAGTGAGTTGTTCATAGTCATATAGGAGAACGAGAAGAAAGTTATTTTCAATCAAAATGTTGTTTTATTTTTTTTTTATTTTAACTAAATTTATTTTTATTTTCAAATCTGAAAAAACACTAATACGATATTTTCTTCCGGCGAAAATCAATTTAAAACAGGTTAAATGCAAAATCAAACACTTAATTTCAGACCACAAAAGCTCCTCAGGAGCTGAAGGGGGATGGCTTACCCACTCAACGAACTAAAAAATTCTTATTCTTGCTGAAGCATCTAAGGGTGAAGAATCAAGATGAATCTTGTTTAACAAGAAGCCATTTTTGGGCCTTGCAATGGTGTGGGGACTGGCGATGTACCCACCGCGCTGAGCTGAGAAATGAAAGTTCTCTCACAGAGGACTTGCAAGACAGATTCTGTCCCCAGTGACCAATTGCAATGTTCTTGCCAAGCCCTGGAGGCCAAACTTGGTGGCAAAATAAGCTGCAACAACATGAACTTCCCACCTAAAAACAGTCCTGCGTTTGTTCGAACCATGGGCGGAGGAATGCAAAGGCTAGGGTGGGTCTATTAATATTTTTTTATTAGTTTTATATAACTTTTTTATTTTTAATTTAATTTTTTTTTAAAATTTCAGTGGAGTCTTGTAATATAATACTTTAGCTTGAATTAAAATTTCATAATTTTTAAAGAAATTCAAAAATTTAATTAAAAAATCATAATTTAACTAATTTTATATAATTATATGTAATTTTCAATACAACTATCAAATTAAGCTGAAATTTTATAAGAGATCTTAAAATATATTGAATGAAATCTGGTTAAATTTTTAAGATAAACGAAGTTTGGTAGTGCTAATAAAAAAATTATCAAATAAAAACAAAACAACTTATTAAGAATAAAATAATTATTTTTCATTACAAACTAAAACAAATCAGTTTTTTTTTTTTTTATATGTTGCTGACTGGGCAAAAACAGAATAGAAAAAGAAAAAAAAAAGACAAGAGAGAAAGAAAAAAAAATTAAAGGGAAAATATAAAAAAATCCAAGAAAAAAAATAAAAGAATAACATTGTAAACTTACGAAGTCTAATCTATAAAACACTAATTTAAGAAAGAATCAAATAAATAAAGGAAGAATTGATAAAAAAAAATTTAATTACTTTATTGATTGTTATTTTATTTCAGTTGAAGGGTTATTACAATATCAATTTAGATTTAATTATAAATAAATTATATTTCATAAAATATCAAAAATGTAACTTTAAGTTTATTTTTACCTTTTATTTTAGTTTGATATATTTTTAAATTTATTTTTTAAATAATTTTGGTAATGTATTTAAATTAAAATTTTAGTGTTGACTTCAAAAATTTATATATATAAATTAATATATAACTTTTTAAAAAATTATATATTTATTTAATAGCCTATAAAGAAAAAAATTTGTGCCTCCGCACTTGTTTCGAACCAATACTACATTCTAGCAATCGGCGTTTTCTCCTTGCAGCCTGGCACTGGTCACTAATGTCACGACGGATAGAATCTGGGAGGTCGGGTCTCCGCCCACTTGCGGAAGAAAACAAGCTAGAGCCGCCTTTGCAGTCTTCTCGTCCTGTTTTGCCTTTGAAACACTGCCGCTTGACGGGTGGGATCATGCTGGATTGGGTATTGCATAATTATTAAGTAAATATATAACCTTTGATGAAATACTGAAATACAATCTTGACATCCGTACTAATCGTAGATAAAAACTATACTTGAATTATATATATATAACACTTACCTGATAAAGCTATTATTGATTTGCAGTCTGTTAATTAATTTTTTTTGTTACCAGTTTACTCATTAGTTAAAACAGACTGTACATTACAATTTTCAGGAACATGTCTTAATCCACCATGTCTTTTTTTAGCCACTTTAAAATTATTTATTTTTTTATTTTGCTAAAATTTAATTGCTTGTTGCTTAACCTATATCTATTCCAAAAAATATTATACGGCTAGCTTGACTGTTTAAGAGTGTAATAGTATTTAATTTTTAAAATATTTTTTGTTTAAAAATATATTAAAATAATATTTTTTTATTTAAAATATTATTTAAAATATTATGATATAAAAATATAAAATTATTTTTAAAATATTATTTATTTTTTAATCAGTTTTGAAGTCATTTCCTGCTTTATACTTTGGGTTTAATTTTTGTGAGAAATTATTTTCGTTGGCTTTGCTGCCAAGAATACAACACCAGCTGCTTTCTTAAATCAAAAGCAAGATATTATTTTGGAGTCCAAGATTTCCTTTCCATATTCTTTTCCTTTCCATATAAATTAGCGAGTCTCAATCGAATCTATTAATGCCACCGCCAAATTTTCAGAATTATTTTTCTTTTATTGTGGATATTACAATAGGTATTAAATCTACTATTAAGTCCGATTCAAAGAATAATCTATGACAATAACTGTGTTATAAGTTGAGAGAATAAGTTTTAAAAAGAATTCTTTTTAAAAGTTAAAATCATATTATTAAAAAAAAAAAAATATTTTTTATAAATTATACCAGTTGCAAGTCAACCAGTTTCTTTATCAGGTTAGGTTGCCAGGGTCAAATAATAATATCTCTAAAAAATAAAATTTAAGACTCGAAATCCTAATTTATTGAGAAATAAAAAAATGTAAATAAAAAAGAAGAAGATAAATCTGCCTGAAGAAATGAAAACCGAACAGAACTAATGAAAGGAAACAGGTAAACCCAAACCAATTATCATTAATTACGCTCCTAATTAACTAAATTCCTCCTCTCACATTACGGCAATAAAAGGCAAAACCCATCGTTCCGGTCCCAGCCTCTCCCTCTCCGCATCTGCAGCTACCTACCATGTCGATTTTCTGCTGAATGAAAATAACTGATAATTCAATTCAAGAAAGATAAGAGTGATGATGGGGAGGGAGGGCGCTGGGAACGACACTGTGGAGATTAAGGTACATCCAAAGCGGGAAAACAATGTAGGCTCACCACCACCGTATCAGAACAAATCTGTTTTCAAGAAATGGGTGCCATGGCTTGTCCCCTTATTTGTGGTTACTAACATTGCTGTCTTTATTGCTGTCATGTATGTCAATGATTGCCCCACCAATTCTGGCTCTTGTGTTGCTCCTTCTTTGGGCAGATTCTCCTTTCAGCCTCTCAAAGAAAATCCCCTTCTTGGCCCCTCCTCTTCAACGTGAGCCCCCCCATATTATAAGCGTTATTATTGATCACGATGCTGGCTTGATATTCTTGGGTTTTTATTAAAATCAAGAATGGATTTGTTGGTTTGTTTGTTTATTTCTGCAGTTTGGTGAAGATGGGAGCTCTAGACGTGGTTAGAGTGGTGAATGAGCACCAGAGTTGGCGTCTCATTTCTTGCATATGGCTACATGCTGGAGTCTTCCATGTGGTTGCCAACATGTTGAGCCTCCTCCTAATTGGAATTCGTCTTGAGCAAGAATTTGGGTTCGGTATGTATTCTGCTTCTTTCGTTAATTTTGTTCAAATCATATACCTTTCTGCTTTAGCGGACAAGTTTCTACGAAGATTACAACTTTTTCCAAGGGGCATGTGTTTGAGAATGTGCTTAAGATAATCTCAAATTAATTTTGTATCCTTTTGCATTTAAATGTGGAAACAAATTGCTTGTTTTGATTCTTTCTTGGGGGTGTTGCGGCACAGGAAACATAGAGCATATTGGATTTTCACCCGACTTTTTTGACGAGTTCTGAGCATAATTTTGTGTACTGTACTAAATTTGAATGCTGATAAATATCTTAATCTTGTGCTGTTTCCTGGTTTGAGCTGAGAACTTTTAGAAGGAATTATTGTGGAAATCTTGGGGTTTTATCCATGGAATGTCACTGATGATTCTATGTGTTTACATTGCCAAGAATTCAAAATGAATTATTTATTTTAATTGCTTGATGACTGCAGTCATATGCTAGGAATTCATCAGTTTTAACGGATTCTAATCACAGATGTTCAATAATTGTGCGTGATGAGTTTTATGAAGGATGATAATGTAAAAAGAAATAACAAGCATTGAGAAAGAATGCCTGAGCTAATGAATGGAATTGCTTCACTTCGTTCTTAAGTTAATGCCTGAGCTAATGAATTGAATTGCTTCACCTCGTTCTTAAGTTATACTTTCATCATTCAAAATTATAATTTATTTTTTCAATCACCGTTATTACAGTTCGAATTGGGTTGGTCTATGTCATTTCTGGCTTCGGTGGGAGTTTGTTGTCGGCTTTGTTTATTCAGACAGGTATATCTGTTGGTGCCTCCGGTGCACTGTTTGGTTTACTAGGAGGCATGCTTTCAGAACTGATTACGAACTGGACCATATACGCAAATAAGGTACATTTGATTACCCTGAATAAAACGGCGTTTCCTTGTAAGATTTCAGCTTTGAAGTTTGCTACATATGTGGCCCAATTGTCTTATGCTTGCAGATTTTTGTGTGCAGTCAGCAGCACTGACAACTCTCCTTTGCATCATTGCAATAAATCTAGCAGTTGGACTCCTCCCACATGTGGACAACTATGCTCATATTGGAGGATTTCTCTCTGGCTTTTTTCTGGGCTTTGTGTTCTTAATTCGCCCCCAGTTTAAGTGGATCAACCAAAAAGCATGTCCTCCAGGATACATTGCACCCCCAGCTAAATCTAAACACAAGACGTACCAGTATGTATTGTGGGTTGTATCTCTGATAGTAATCATCATTGGGTAAGTTAATTTTTGCTATTTGGAGTTCGATATTTGCTTGTTGAGCTCTCGTTGGTTGCATCTCTATGATTCACGGAGGTTTTGTATTATAGTCTATGCGCCATATTAGATGAGCGAGACAAATGGTTTGTTTGTTTTGTGTAAAATATTTAATAAATAAAAAATGTTACATGTAAAATATTTTTTAATATTTGGCTTGTAAATAAATTTCCTATAAAATATAAAAATATTTTACAATAATGATATTTTTTAATATTTGGCTTATAAATAAATTTCCTATAAAATATGAAAATTGTGATTAAAATAATTAAATGATATTGTAAGTGTATTAATATTTGTAAAATATTTTACAGAATTTCATAAGTTAAAAATATTTTTTAGTAAATAAACTAAGTTTGAAGTTTGACTGTAAAATATTTTTTATTAGCTAATTTTTCTGTAAAATATGTTATGAAAACAAATATAGAAAAAGAAAAACATTTTGGGAAAATCTGGATAACATTTTCTTGGTAAAATATTTTACTCAGGACAAAAGAGACTGTTAATTTGATAGAAAAGTGATTTGTTTCCTATAATCTGATTATTACCATGCTTGGTCCCCAATCATGTTACAACAAAATGTTGAGACAACTCATTACTAGTTATGTCATTGACCATGCTTAATGGTTCATTTGAGGACATCATCTTGAGAAATTTCATTTTGCCTTCCTATATATACATGGCATCTTTATATGTAGAAGGTTTCTGAACAGGGGTGATGCAATTATTTCAGATTTACTCTTGGGATGGCTGCACTCCTTCGAGGAATTAATGTGAATGATCATTGTTCATGGTGTCATTACTTGAGCTGCGTTCCTACTTCATTATGGAGCTGCAATTCTCGGCAAGTTTATTGTCAGGTAACTATAACCCACACATAGCTGTATGTGTGTGTATCTTTTTGCTCAAGTGGCATTTTAACTCAGACACAAACGGAAGCAAAGGATAACAAAATTTGTTGTAAGTTGAAATTTTTAAAAATTAAGAACAATTTAACTATAAAAAAATATTTAATTTTTATTCATCCAATTCTAGGAGGCTATTACAATCCTTTACATATGAAAAACTATAAAACCCTAGTAATATAAATAAGAAAGATAAAATAGAAAAAATATTTTTCAAATAAGAAAAACTAGGGAAGTATAATAATACAAAATAAAAAAAATTAACTGAAAAAAAATTAAAAATAGCCAAGGAAAACTCCCTCGGTTAAAAGGAATTAGCCCCCAAGTTCATATCTTAGTCAGAAAATATCCTTCACCACAAACATCCTTTTGTGTAAGGATGTTTGAGCTAATCTCTTTGTGCGGGCTAATGCAACAGGGATCAATGTGAGCTACCCAATTGAGGGTACCTGACCACGTGGAGTTATAGATCCTAATTTTCAATTATAGTAATTAATGGAAACAAGACATTAATTCCTGGATATTTTTTTTCTTAAGGATAACCAGATATAAATAAATTGTTATAAGTTAAAACCTTGAAATATTAAGAATACTATAAAGGCATATACAAAATATTTAATTTTTATTCATTGAGTCTTAATTATCAAAAAGTTATTATAGCCATTTATATAAAAAAAACTATAAAACTCTATTAATATGAATAGGAAATGTAAAATACAAAAAATATTACTTCAAATAGTAAAAAACTAGAAAAACATAATAATAAAAAATAAAAAAAAATAAAGATACGGAAAAAAAACTACTAAACAGAAAAGGAAGAAATAAAATAACTGAGGAAAATATTTTATTTTCCTAAAATAGCTCACTGCATCACATTCCACAATGCGTGTTAATGCTCTGGTGTATTGTGCCTTCATCCTTGAACATTGTGCTATTAAATCGTTTGAATATAATTATTATCAGCAACCTGTGTTTAAGCCTTGTACGTGTTTTTCCAGTCGACTCAACTTGGAAATCAACTGAACTTGACGTGCTTGAGCAATGGGAAAAGCAACCTGTATTATTTGTCTGCTGACGTCCTGTCCAAGTTTCAGCAGTTGTGCGCACAGCTTTGCAGTTGATGTGCACCCTGTACACGATAGATTGATCGAACTATGTAGTTTTACAAACTGGTGAATTTATGTGATTCATTTATCCAAATGTAAAGAACACTCATCGATGACCGCCGCATGATGATATAATTTCATTGATTTCTGCATGCTCTGCATGGTTCAAACTTCAGGCTCTCTCTTTATGATTCTTGGGATATTGGCAAGAATAGCAGATCAATTTTATATGAACTAATGAACAGCGTAAACAAAGTATTTCTGTTCCACCATGGCATCCATACTTTTTACATATATAATGATTGGTTTTTCACGTTGTTTTAAACAACAATGCCTGAAACAGAGCTCGTGAAATTCCATTAAAATCTGCATTAGTGATCTGGCTAGCCTCATCCAACAATTATGAATCAAGTGATTAAAAGGGCCTCATTAGGCCCATTTAGAGTCATTAGCCTAAACTACCAGGGCCCTGATAAAGAAGAAAAGGCCCAACATACAAGAACCCCAAGTCCAGAACAACTGAAAGCAAAGCATCCCCTGCAGCTGAGCTGCAAACAATCTCTCTCTCTCTCTCTGCGTCTCTGCTCGTCGAGCTCAGTTGATTTTGAGGTTTTGCAGAAGAAACCTGGTGAGCCCTCTTCATTTAATATTTAACATTTTAATTTTTCCGATATTGAGCAATGAAAATATAGCCAGTCTAGTTTGTAAATCGGGTCCTTTCCGATTGATATATTTCTTGCAATAACAGCGGGTATGCTGGGAGACAGGTGGTTGGGTAATTGATAGCTGTTAGGTTGTCATTAGATGTTGTGATTGTTCATATTCTATTCAGTAGCAGTCTCGACATGTGGGGATTCATCAGCTTTTTAATTTAATCCAAGCGATTATATTGTGTCATGCTTTAATAAATTTCTTCTTCTTGGAAACTGTCGTGAGCGAAAGCATTGTTAGAAGATATCATAAACTATAAAAAGCTTTGGGGTAATCATTGGTTTCTATGCTTTATATTTTATGTTTTCAAAGAATTAGCAGCAAGCACTCTGTACGAGTTTTCTTCATCTCTTTTGAAAAAGTATTTTATTAAGGAAGAAGAACTAGAATATATTTCTATATATCTGTTAAGACGACACCTTTAAAGACCTGTGAGGAGGAACACACCAGAGGGAAGCCAGGAAAACTTTCCTATTCCAAAATTTTAGAATTTCTCTAACTCTGTATGCATTAGGTCACTGAATTTTTGCACTGCCATAGCACTTTGCCTTAAGAGTTCCCATAGCCCACAAGAGAAGCACCCCAAGCTGTAAGAACTCTCCTTTTCTGATGTTATAGAGCCATCCATGTGTTGAAATTGCTAATTTCTAATCCGCTAATAAGCTAGAGACTTTATTCTGCTCATCTATGACTTGTTGAATAACCATTTCATTAATCCAAAACATTTCTTTCCCTCCTCCAATCCCGTGCTAGATTAGGAGCAAGAATCATGATATCATTATGCATAAAAATAGCATGGCTGCATTTCCTTTGCAATTTATGTTTTTATGCCACACTGCAATAATAATATAAGGGATTGGCCTCCATTGGATGGCTGTAAGAGATTGCAATACATCACAAAACCTGGTTGCTAATGTTACTGAAAACCTGACGTGAAATTAGAAGCTTTGGGTTTAGCCTATTTTCAGTGTTAAATGATCGTCTCAATCTGACATGACTCCATTTTATTTAAAGGAACATAGGAATCGTGTTGTGTTACAATAAATAGCTCATTCTCTCTTAAGTGCTTTTACATAATTAACCGAACAGGTTTATATTTTGGAGTGACTGATTTATCTGAATACTTAGTTGATGTGATATGAATATGGCCCACTAGTGTGATTTGTCACCCCACTTATATTTATATAAAATAAGCATGCCCCGATTTACCACATTTTGGGGTAACCTAGATTCTACCAACTATGTGGGATGACAATATAAATGTGGGATATACCATCTAATGTGGTAGATGGTGAAAAGCTAGAATGTGATAGAAATGTCTTGAGCTCGAGTCATTTTCTTTGCAGAGCAAGATCTAAGGTTATGCGCATATCAGATGAGATACAAGAAAGAAATGAGTTCACCAATTGTGTAAAATGTGCTCAATTCGGTGAGAATCTAGAATGTAACAGGGATGTCTTGAGTTGAAGTCATTTTTTCAAGTACTTTAGACTTTTTAAGGTTTGCCAGGATCTACACTTGATCAGTGCTATGTATCATACAAGGATACAACATGGATGGTATGGAAGATGAGCTTCCTCATTTGGTTAGAAGCTAAAATGTGATAGGCATGTCTTGAGTTGAAGTCAATTTTTTTTTCTCAAATACTTTATACTTTTTAAGGTTTGTCAGGATCTATACTTGTTTAGTACTATGTATCATATAGGGCTTCAATGGATGGTATGGAAGATGAGCTTCCACCTAGCTTTGTGTCAAAAATTGACAACGATAACAGCTACAAAGTAGAAATTGAGAGAGTTTCATCCTCACTAGCTCAGATGAATGCAGAAGATTCAATTTTGATTCTTGGTTGTGAATGGAAGGAAGATCTTACAAAAAAAAATAAAAAATGAATGTAGTTAATGCAGGTAAAGAGGAGATAAAACCTGCCATTGAAGAGGTGAATAATGAAGAGGATGAGGATGGATTGATGAATGAAGAAATCATTGAAAATGAGGCAAAAGATAAGGTAAAGGAGCTTATTGAATAAGATAGTCTAGTTGTTGGAGTTGAAAATGAGAGAATATTTGAAGGATGGAATTGATAATAGAGAGAAAGCAAAAGGTGAAGGATAAACAACTCATGATGGCAAATCCTAGGAAAGAAGTAGATACCTTAAGGGAAAAGGGGAAAGGGGGGAAAAGGAAGAAGGTAGTTTCAAGGGTTGGGAATGCAAGGATTGCCAATAGTACAAATGACGAATAAACTTCAAGTAAAATGATGAAAAAGAAGAATGAGATTATGAGGATGATATTTATGTGTAGCTCCAAAACAAAATAGGATTGCTATCATTGCAAGCTTTTTGGATTGCCTGTGGGCAAAAGAGATATTTTATTAAGTATTTTCAAAGGAATGGAGCTATTCCTTGTTTGATTTTGATTAGAGGTTGATGTATGGTATTCGTAAAGCCACATGGCTTGAAGGTTATAACATTGAGTTGAAGGCTTTGAACTTGGCATTCCATTCTAAGGTTAGTATTTGAACTCAGTGTTTTTTTTACTATATTTCAATCCATCATGGTTTATTCAAAAACAGTGTTAGGTCTAGATTTGTATTGCTTTCTAAACAAAGCATGAGTTTCCTTAAGAACAACTAATTTGCTTTCAGTTGAAAGTGTGTTTCTTGATTTGTGATTGGGGTTGATTAAGATGCACTTGTTGTGAAAATTGAGAATAATGTGTTTTTGAGGGTTGTCTTTGTCGATATTAGGGTTAGGTATAATCGATAAATATGTTACGGTTAGCTTCAACTATATATATATATGTATGCATGTATGCATGCATGCATGCATGCATGTATATTGTAAAAAAATGGCAAAGCAAAGATATGGAAAGTTTGCGGGTTTTTTTTCCAAAATAGCATAGTCAGCAAAAGTATTTTGGGAACTAGCATTGCAAGAGAAAAAAATGGGGAAACAACACATTTTCTTGATTGCATCACTCCCGGTGGCACAACAAAAAAATTCCCTAGTTGCACCAGTCCTACTGGTGCTAACAATTGATCTATTTTTAACAACCCCTTCCTCCCTGTCTCCACCGTGAACTTTCCTCACCTCTTGGCCTCCTTATCTCTTTGCCTCCTTTCACCACAAAAACTAGCAACCCCCTTCTCCTTCACTTACCACCACCACTACATTCGCCACCCCCTTCAATAATTTAAGGTTAGCACTCCATCTCCCACTCTTAATTTTATGAATTTTATTGTGATTTGGTTATTTTGTTAGGGTGAGGGGTTATTTTGTTATTTTAGGGTTTAGGTGAACTTGGATCAATTAAGTTTAAATTATATTAATTAGGTATAATTTCATCAATTGAGTTGATAAATTACTTCAATCAGGCAGGAATTTAATAATTAGAGTTTTGGTCAATTTAGATGAATTAGGTATAAATGATGTTGATTATGTAAAAATTACATAAATTACTTCAATTAGGAATAAATTTCATGAATTAGGGTTTTGTTGATTGAGTGTTTATTTAATTAGGGTAGAGTTTAGTTGAATTTAGACCATTTAGATATAACTAATGTTAATTATGTATAAATTACATCAATTGAATTGATAAATTTCTTCCATTAGGCATAAATTTCGTGAAATAGGCTTTTGTTGAATTTAGATCAATTAGGTTTGAATTTGATGAGAATACGTGACTATTAATAAGAATTTGTGTTAATTGATGAATTTGTTGAGAATTTGATCAGTTATGTTAACTAGGGTTTATATGATTTGTGAGAATGTATGTGATGCGGAACAACAAACAAAAGAATTAAAATCGGGAAAAGAAAGAAGCTTTTAGAGGAGAAGTTGAGAAGAGAAAGCAAAGAAGAAGAAGAAAGGGGATTGGAGGTATGCAAAATCTGCAAATTTTCATTAATCATCAAAAACTAACTCTCACAATGACAAGAGAGCATATAAATAGTAAATTCTAAAACATCCAACTAATGGGCTCGGCCCAAACTGTTTAACATAAATAATAAGATAACAATGAACAGGCCCAAATAGGCTAAATAAATAAAATAACAATGCAATAGGCCCAAATGGGCTTAGTCTCCCAACCACAGCGTGACAGGCTGGGCCATCCTACGCCGTCTTCGTCCATATACTCGTATAGTTTGTGGTGTGGGTCTGGTGTCCCCATCAACTCTCCCGGGGTTAGAGAAACTCGACCCTGTCGAGTGTAGTACTGGCCGACTCTGATAGTATTCCCAAAGATCTGGATCAAGCTGCTGTAAAGTATCTCTAGTAATCCAAGTGCAATCTGAGTCAGGTCGACCCACCCAACGCACTAGAAACCGTTGAACCTCACCATTCCTGTTAAAAACAACTTGTTCATCCAGAATAGCATCAATATTATCCTTTTGTGCTGATGTCAAGGTGAAAGGGATAGAAGTTTCAATAGGATCATCAGAAGAGGAGTTAAGTGGTATCTCAAATGGATCATCTGGAATAGGAAGTGGTTTGTGGTATGCAACTAGATCCTCAATATTAAATGTAGAGCTAATGCCAAAATCATGTGGTAAATCAAGAACATAAGCGTTTGGACCTACCCGTTGTAGCACTTTGAAAGGTCCGGCACTACGTGCATGTAATTTTCGATTAGCTCCCGAAGGAAACCGCTCGGGTCTAATCCGTATCATAACATAATCTCCCACTTGAAACTCATTATGTCGTCTATGTAAATCAGCTTGAAGTTTATATTGCACATTACTTGCTTGAATCTGTTTAGTGATCTCAATATGCAAATCCTGAATTCTACGTGCAAAAGACTCGGCTGACTCAGACACTCTAGCATGAAGGGACATGGGAAGAAGGTCTAAAGGTTTCCTAGGCTTGTAACCATGTACAACTTCGAAAGGACTCATGCCTATTGACCTATTGATAGAGCTATTATAGGCAAATTGGGCCGTAGGAAGAATTAGATCCCAATTCCGATTATGATCACTTACTAGACACCTCAAAAGGTTGCCCAAACTCCTGTTAACCACCTCAGTTTGACCATCAGTTTGGGGGTGGTAAGCAGTAGAAAACTTCAATTTGGTTCCCACCATATGCCAAAGGGTTTTCCAGAAATAACTTGTGAATCTAACATCCCTATCCGAAACTATGGTTTGAGGAAGACCATACAACTTGACAATCTCATCAAAATAGAGTTTTGCAACTTTGGAAGCATCTGTGGTTTTAGTACAAGGAATAAAATGGGCCATCTTAGAGAAGCGGTCGACAACCACAAAAATAGAATCATGTTTCTTTGTAGTACGTGGAAGCCCAAGCACAAAATCCATGCTCACATCTTGCCAAGGGCAAGTAGGAACGGGCAGTGGGGTGTAAAGACCAGTATTTTGTTTTTTATGTTTAGCTAGTTGGCAAGTTCGGCATTGACCTACCAATTTAGCGACATCTCTTTTCAAACTAGACCAAAAAAACTGGCGTTCCACTTCTTCGATGGTTTTATTCCTTCCAAAATGTCCTGAGAGACCTCCAGCATGAATCTCCCATATCAAAAAATCACGCACAGATGTTTTTGGGATACAAAGCTTATTATCCCGAAATAAGTATCCATCTTGGAGGTGATAACCATTTAAAACACGGTGATTCTCATCCTTCAATGTCAAGTATATTTCTCCAAATTCTGAGCAAGATTCATACTCCTCTTTAAGTCTCTCAAATCCTGTGATTTCAACACTCATTACAGATAACAGCGTTACCCGACGACTCAAAGCATCTGCAGCTTTATTCTCTATTCCAGATTTATGTTTCAAAACAAATGAGTATGCTTGCAAATATTCAACCCAATGACCATGCCTATGATTAAGCTTCTTTTGGGAGTTAAGATAGCGGAGGGCTTCATGGTCAGAGTAAAGAACAAATTCCTGTGGTAACAAGTAATGACGCCAATAACGCAAGGCCTGAACCACCGCATAAAACTCTTTATCATAAGTTGAGTACTTTTGTTTGGCCTCATTAAGTTTCTCACTAAAATAGGCCACAGGGTGACGTTCTTGACTAAGTACTCCACCTATACCGACTCCCGAAGCATCACATTCTACTTCAAAGACTTTAGTAAAATCAGGTAGCCGCATTACTGGAGCCTCCGTCATTTTCTTCTTAACCTCCTCAAATGCCATATTAGCTCCTTTACTCCACCTAAACTCACCTTGTTTCAAACAATCTGTAATAGGCGACATGATGGTGCTAAATCCCTTAATAAAACGACGATAGAAAGTCGCAAGCCCATGAAAACTACGAACCTCATGAATAGTCTTAGGTTCAGGCCAATCTACTATCGCTTGGACTTTCTGGGGGTCAGCAGAGACTCCGTTCCGTGACACTATAAACCCTAAAAAGACCACTTGATCTGTAAAGAAGGAACACTTTTTGACATTTGCAAACAAACTTGCCTTTCTTAGAGTGGTACAAACTTGAATAAGATGATCAAAATGCTCTTTCTTGGTTTTGCTATAAATAAGAATATCATCAAAGTATACCACCAAGAATTTTCCCATAAATGGTCGAAGCACTTGTGTCATTACTCTCATAAAAGTGCTTGGTGCATTGGAAAGGCCAAAAGGCATGACTAACCATTCATATAAACCATCCTTAGTCTTAAATGCTGTTTTCCACTCATCTCCCGGACGGATCCTAATCTGATGATATCCACTCTTCAAGTCAATCTTAGAGAAGATCTGGGCTCCTGCCATCATATCTAGCATGTCATCCAATCGAGGAATTGGAAAACGATACTTGATTGAAATCCTATTAATGGCTCGACTATCAACACACATTCTCCATGATCCATCTTTCTTGGGTGTTAACAGTGCAGGTACTGCACAAGGGCTCAAACTCTCTCGTATAAATCCCTTTTGTAACAACTCACATACTTGCCTTTGCAATTCAGCATGTTCACTCGGGTTCATCCTATAATGAGGCAAGTTTGGTAATGTAGCTCCAGGGACAAAATCTATGGCATGTTGAACATCACGCATAGGGGGTAAAACATCAGGTAGTTCAGAAGGGAAAACATCTAGAAATTCTCTCAACACTTCTCTTACTTCTTCGGGTGGCTCCTCTAAAAAGTCTTCTACAATCTCCTTAGCCACTACAGCAAACACAACAGACTCTTTACAAATCTCCTTATCAAACTCCTTAGGACTTATTATGTTAAGCCCTCCATCTTTCACTTTATTCTTCTTCTGACCATTATCATTAGACCTCGGGGGTAATCCAATAAGTTGGATTTTTTTACCTTGAAAAGTGAATGAACAAGAATTTGATCGTCCAAAGATTGTAACGTCCAAATCATATAACCAAGGCCTACCCAAAATGACGTGTCCTACATCCATAGGAATGACATCACACCAAATTTCATCATGATAGTCAAAAATCTTAATGGAAAAAGACATCTCTCTTTGACCGCTATAGATGTATCATTAACCCAAGATACATTATAAGGTTTAGGATGTGGAACAGACTTTAAGCCTAAGCGGGATACACTACCCGAGGAAACTGCATTGATGCAACTACCACTGTCTATGATGATTTTACACCCTTTATCTCCACATTTAATGTAAGTGTAAAAAATAGCAGTCCTTCTCCAATCCTCAGTTCCTTTAGGTTGTGTTAAAGCACATCTAACCACACCTAACCTAGTAGTCTTGATTTGAGTGGATATAGACCTAACACATCCTAGCAAGTTAGACTCATTATCATCATCATTTAGATCTTGAAAATCATCGGGATTGGGTTCATATACCTTATCATCACAATTACCTTCTTCATTCATACCCTCTTGCTCCTTGATGAACAAAGCCTTATTAGGGCAGCTAGAGGAGATATGACCAAAACCCTGACACTTAAAACACTGAATTCTTGAAGTTTTAGGTGCTTCATGAAAAATACCTTTACCCTTATCTTCTCTAGGTATCTGGGAAATCAAAGGATTGGGTTTACGAGGTGGGGCACCTAATATGGAGTGATTACTACTAGGTTGAGATCTAGAAGGGGTATTACGAGTGTCCTGCCGTCTTGTCCACTGGCTTTTTGTGACCAAGTCATAATTTTGTACTAGGGTATAAGCTTCATCAAGGGTGGAAACACCCCTAAGCACAATCTCTCTTTTAAGGTCATCGTTCAAGCCTTTTCGAAATCTACTTAGGGTCATCACTTCATCCTCCCTAACTGCACATCTCATCCTATACTCATCAAATTGTGCCACATATTCATTAGCAGACCTGCCTCCTTGCCTCAAGTTATTCCACTGGTCCAAAAGATTTCCTCTATAAGAGCGGGGCAAGTACTTTTCTTCTAGCTTAGTCTTCATTTCAACCCAATCAGTAATAGGGGGTTGACCTCTCCTAATCAAAGACTCTTCTACACTTTCCCAATAGAGCTGAGCGGTTCCACTAAGTTTCATCTTTGCAAATCTTACCCTTCTATTCTCAGATAGATTATACCAGCCAAAGAATTGATCCATGTCACGGATCCATCTATCAAAAATCCACGGGTCAAGTTGACCCTCAAAAGTTGGGGCTTCTACCTTGATATGCCTCATGACTCGCTCGTCAGGGTCATCATAATCATGATGGCCCTGATTGCGATTGTATTGACGGTTCCTAGGATGAACTGGTCTTTGACGGTAATCATTGGAACGCTCACTATCATGAGGGTCATCAAAGTCATTGTGACCTTGTTGTTGATTATGATGGCGGTTCCTATGGGGAACTGGTCTTTGAGGATTCCTATGGTTGTCACTAGAATGCTCGCTCTCACTAGACTGTCTTATTTGAAAAGTTTCTATGGACTCCATCCTCCCAGAAAGGTTGTTCATTTGATTGGACATGTTGCTCATTTCTGTTCGCATAAGTTGTAATTGTTCTTGAATATCTCTAAGAACATTACTAGAATTCGGGTCCATGGTAGCTATGACCTCTAGATTGTGTACTAGACGACCACTACGTAATTGCATGCAAAAACTAATCTTGAGATTGAGATCACCAAATAACTTTTGCAAGTAAAACACAAAATAAAAATATAGCTAAATAATAATAATACTAATAATAATTTTTTTTTTTTTTAATTTTTTTAATTTTTTTTTTTATCTTGGAGACTAAGTAATAACAAATTAAACCAGGAAAATATGCAAGTAAATAATGTCAGTCCTCTTAAATGCACACAAGTGATCCAAACACAATGTTTTAGTTTCCCACTAATTTAACCAAGCTCCACAATTAATTAAGAGGATCAGATCTTCGATGCTAAATAGGCTCCAAATTAAGGTAATTGAATGTAGAGGCGAGCTATGTAATTTGGTTATGGGCAAGCACAAAATATAATATTAATGCTAAATACTAGTTAACAAGTGTAAAAACATACCAGGAATGATGATTTTCAATGGATAAAATTTCTGACCGTATGATATGGTAGTGAAGGATTACGTGGCAGCTGACATGGCAAGGTATGCTGATGAGGCCGATGACGTGGCGACGTGCTGACGTGGCACGGTCTGATGACGTGGCGGTGCGCTGGCGTGGCAGGAGCTGCTGACGTGGCTAGGTTAATTATTTCTCCCTAACACTCCTTCTACTGCTTTGTCGAGTTTCCTTCGTTATTGTTGCTGGCGGCGCGACGTGATTGTTGAAGGCGAGGATAGTTGGAACCTGTTGAGAGTGGTGGTTGTCGTCGGTCGGTCCTGCTGCTCTGCTTGTGGCTGACGGTTGAAGGCGACGACACGGGGAAGCGGTGGCAGATGGAGATCTGTTGATGCCACGGAGAGGACAACACTGATTAAGGTGCTGCCACCGACGAGGATTTACTACTGTTAGCGTAGGAGACCTGTTGTGGCAGTGGCGGCGCTGTTGATCTTAGTGGTTGTAGGTGGTGTCGCTGCTGGACGGGGCCTGTTGATCCGGTGTCGTTGTTGAAGGTGCTGCTGGTGGAGGCGTGGCTGATGGCGCTGATGGGTTGTAACGCTAATTTGGAACTGAAAACATGGAGCTGCTGTTAACCCAAAACAATGTTGGGTGTGATGGATTATGTGGGTAGCGGCGTCCGATTTGATGATGGAGACGATGAACAGTGATTTTGAACAGTGAATAGTGAACAGTGAACAGTAGGGTTTTCAACAGGGAACGTTTTTTTTTTTTCCGGATCAAACCGAATTTAGGGTTTAATATAAAAGTTATAGACCGTTTAATTGTAAGAACAATTAAAAGCCTTGCTCTGATACCAAATTTGATGCGGAACAACAAACAAAAGAATTAAAATCGGGAAAAGAAAGAAGCTTTTAGAGGAGAAGTTGAGAAGAGAAAGCAAAGAAGAAGAAGAAAGGGGATTGGAGGTATGCAAAATCTGCAAATTTTCATTAATCATCAAAAACTAACTCTCACAATGACAAGAGAGCATATAAATAGTAAATTCTAAAACATCCAACTAATGGGCTCGGCCCAAACTGTTTAACATAAATAATAAGATAACAATGAACAGGCCCAAATAGGCTAAATAAATAAAATAACAATGCAATAGGCCCAAATGGGCTTAGTCTCCCAACCACAGCGTGACAGGCTGGGCCATCCTACGCCGTCTTCGTCCATATACTCGTATAGTTTGTGGTGTGGGTCTGGTGTCCCCATCAGTATGTTAATGAGTAATTTTTTCAAAATTTGACTAACTATCTAATTTTTTTGTAATTGATAAATTTTGGTGATGAATTTGTGAGAATTGTTGAATTTTGTTATATTTTGTTATTTTTATCAGACTTTTCTCCTTCCCTCACATCTCTCTTTCTCAGATCATTAAAACCCTAAGAAAAACTTGAGCTCACTGCAGTGGAGGCCCAACAGTGTCTCATGATGGTCCCACAGAAACATTGAAGAGAATAATCACGGAATTGGAGAAAACGAGGTCAAAGAAGAACTCTAAAAAAAGGGACGGCATTTTTGTCCAGGTTCCAGAATCCATGTCATTTTCTTGACACTGCAACTTTGCCCATGATTCTCACTGTTGTTGGAACTGCACTCTTTGCAAGGCTACTCATGATGGTATGTCGTGACATTCCAATCTTGATTGGTTTTGGATTTTATTGATTTCTGAATTAAATGGATTGATTTTATTTTTGGAAATTGAACTCAAGTATGATGATTAGCAAGAAATGATGGAAGCACATAATTAAGAATTCCCCAGTTGGTCAAGGCAAAATTAGGATGCTTACTTGCGAGGAATGGGAGGAGTTTAGAGAAGTGAGGTCTAGGACTCCTTTTGAATCCAAGCTTGCTCGTTCTAATGCACACATAAGAACCGAAGAACCAGTGCACATGGTGAGGCTTCCTGTTCTTTTCATTACTACATTTTGTAGTTTGGCTGATAAACACATATCCATCACGGGAATGATTGTAAAGTAGCAAGTGCATTTGCTCACATTTAACCCTTTAACAAGGGAATCTATAACACATGGTTATCACATGAATGTTATTTGTCACCCACTTTCTAGTTAATGGATGGCTGTGATGTTGCATCTGCTGGATTTTTTTGTCCTTGATACCACAAACAGCAATGCAGCTTAATAAGAGGATGTCCAGTATGCAGGGGTAGGAGGATGCTTGCTTATGCTACAAAGCTTATTTTCATGTATCTTACTGTAATCAACTTGCATCCTCTAAATTTTTTTTTTTACCTTTTAGTATGTTAAAGTAAAGATTTCCATAGACTATGTCATCATCAATCATATGTGGTTTTCAAAATACAGGGGACATATGTTGCTCAGAGGTTGCCGAGATGATATATCAGGGGAGACTGCACTTTCTAGGTTGTGAATGTGGTGATGCCAACTGTAGTTATAACTCATGAAAGTATACCATGTTTTGGTTTATTTGGACATCCAGTTGCACATCTTTGTACATTTTTGCTTAATTATTGCATCCTTTTCCTTCAGGTGTTAGGAAACAATCAATTGATAATGAATTTTATCCTGGAAATGCTTTCTCAGTGAATGTCATGTTGAAATTGCATGATGGTTTGCTATTTCAAAATTTGATTCTTTTTGTTTGTCAAGTCACTCCCAATCTAAGTTCATGTTGTGGTGGACACGATGCTCAACAGACACAATCTAGTTGCTGGCTTGCTTAACACCTAGTAATGCCATTCTCCGTTGTTTTTAACAAATGTGGACACGATGCTCAACAGACACAATCTAGTTGCTGGCTTGCTTAACACCTAGTAATGTCATTCTCCGTTGTTTTTAACAAATGTGTGTGATAAGGTTCTCTAAAGGGGGAAAAAAAAAAAAAAAGAAGAAAAAGAAATAGAAATGCCTTGCCTCATTCATCCTTTTGGGTTATGCAAGGACCTGTAGGGTCCTCTTCTAGCTTTTCGAGAATGGTAGCCTGGGTAATTGAAAATTCTTTACCCCGAGCATTGGGAATTATTAGTTGCATATGCCTTGATTTTAATGTTGCTGCAAGTTGCTATTTATCAGCAGAAAGCCAGATTGATTTAAGGTGCCTACAGTTGCCATTAACATTGAACTGTAAAGAACATCATTAACGTAACTATTGCTTGTTACACTAGATGTGAGAATATCCTACCGTGATAGTTGATGGTTTTGATTACTTTTTATGACTTGTTTTGAAGTTTCTCTGTTTCAGAGGAGTCTTCGTAGTCTGTGTTGTTACCCTCTCTTTGTTCATGCATACCAAGCTGAAAATTGTGGTTTCTGCGTTCATACGACAATCAGTTTAGTAAATTGTTATAATCTTGTTAATCTGATGATTTGAGAATTGGGAAATGCTTTTCACTTTCCTCTGTCCATTTATCTGAACAGTTCTCATCTGTTTAGCGAAATAACAAACAAAATGTGTCTCTTCCAAGGTACTTCCATGTGAACACTAATTGTCATGTTCACTCGTTATATGCAGGAAGACTCGAAGGGTTGTACAATAGATAGATGTGCTCAACCGTCAATTACACGAAACACCCTCCTCACGCCTCGTCTATTACTGTGACAATTACGTTGCCCAGTATATATGCAGGTGTGCTAACGCTGCTGGAGGGCAAAGTGCAAATAAAATTGTATGCCATCTTTCAGTAAACATGTAACATTACTTGCTGGAAGCATCACATGTTATAGTTACAGTACAATTACAAAATAAACAAAAACAATAAAGGTTTTTGTTCATCTCACTGTGGCGCCTTACTTGGGTACGTTGTGGAGCGCTGCAACGCGCACCTAGTCAGCTCCCTTTTTTTCTTGTTTTCTTGATCCCTGAAATATTGTTCAGCCATGGTTCCTGAACCCTTTTATGTGTTTATGATATTCGTTTTAATGCTCAGTGTTGCGAAAAAGGGTTTAATTTTATCGATTAAAAGAATCGAAATAACAAAGATTATAATTTGGTCGCTCCCAAATCTGAAAAGAGAAAAAATTCCTTTGTTAAAAAAGAGAGGATAGAGAACCAAAACTTTATATCTTGTTTATGCTTTCCAATCAAAAATTTGAAGCGTCCAACAAATTGGGAAGTTACACCTGCGAAACATTTCCATCGGAAGCTAAAGTTGCTCCAAATTGGTGTTTGATACATCATCACCCGGGTGTTTCTCGTATATAGCTGGCACATTATGCATTCTTTCAAGGACTATTTGCTTGCTCCTCACTCTTCCTCTAAGAGCATCAAATGTCCTATGCTCATTTTCCATTATTCTTTCGTTTTTCCTAAGGCCCCAGCATCTCATTTTGCTTGGAATCAAATTCAGCGCCATGAATGGGAACAGGGTATGAAGTACTCAATGACAATCGGAGCTTTTTTTATTTACATTTTTGAACATGCCATTGGAGCCGCTAACTTTTCTTTGCTAAGTTCAAACTGAAATTTGGAAAAGATGGATGAAGACGAGGAAGCAAATTATAGCTCTTTTTTTAGGTTTTCAAATGTGGCAACGAGGATTGGTTGCACGTCTTTGACAAGAGCATTGTGATTGTGTCTTTTGCGATGGGAAATCCATGAAATACCAAATTAAGTCCTGTCTTGGCCACCAATTCTCAAACAATCACAAATGAGGCCAAGGAATAGGTTTTATTCTGTTAGGAAAGGCGATTTCTTGCATCTTTTCATGTATGGATCCTAGAGGCTACAAGGAAAGGGATGGCAATAGATAAAAAGGCTGTTGGGATTTTATTGCGTTGCACTTGAAGACCAGAGAAAAGGTCAATAAAAATGTGGGTAGGGCTATAATTCAGTGGGTGGGTGGAGTAATAAATTATTATTCGTAAATCATAAAGTTTTCCTAAGGAAGAGGGCATGTGGACGATGATGCAAATGATGGAGGGTTGGACGGACCATAATATAGAGTCTTTTGCATGCATGTGGTTGGTGGCTCTCTCATTAAGGCAATCGATTGCTTTTTACAGCACCATCTCTCCTCTGCCGTGAATCCTTTCATCCCCATTTTCTTGTCGGGGCTTGGAAGATCTTGCTCTTTCGAACATCATGATAGGTAGTTATGTTGGTTGCTGGTGTCTTGTTCCTTTTTTTTTTTTGAATTTAAATTGATTGATAAAGCCATAATGAATGATTTAAAGTGATTGATAAAGCCATAATGAATGTTGTTCTTATTTTTTAAAAAAAAAATCAATTCTATTCCTGTTAATTTTTCAAGTTGATTGGTTTTGATTTCATCAACACCGATTTATTTTTAATATAAAACTCAATTAAAATTAATTCTAAAAAATTATTAAGTTAATCAGAATTAATAATATTATTTGTAAAGCTGCTAAAGGAAAATAGTGTTTTATGGAATAAAGGGGTAAAATTACACAGGAGATTATCCTGAGGAAAAGCAATTCAAAAGTCAAGCACTTTCGCGCTTGGCAACTCAAAATAAAATCTCCAAGTGCTTTAAGATTTTGTATGCTCTAGGTCACTCGATTACTCTCAAAGTTGGAAATCTTATCCTCTTAGAATTTTAGACGACAGGAAATTTAATTTTTTTATTTACTTTAATATATCCATCTTCTATATTAAATTGAAAATCACATCATCTTCTAATAATAACATAAATACTTTATGTAAAATGTATATATGTATTTGTTAGGAAATACTATGTTATTAAGTGTATTATTATATTTGATAATTATAATTTGACAGAGGTTAATTTACAATTAATTTTTTTTAATATTTTAGTTTTAAATGCAAGCAACATATGTGCTAATATTAAAAAAAGAAGAAGCACCATGGGGGCTTCGGAAAAGAATAGATTAGTACTGGTGTAGAGGTGGTGCTAGCGGTACAAGGGAACAAATAAAGTCGAGGCATAATGGCATTTTCCGCCTGCTTCACAAACGCAAAACTTTTTCAACATGGAGATTGAGTAAAGCTGAAACCAATTTTCCCAAGCACGCAGAGTTTCATTGCATCAGAATGCATGATTTGGTTGGTCCCAGGAAATCAACTAACAACGTGATAAAGACTAGGGCATATTATGTTGGGCAAAGGTTCTTTCTTGATCATCATCGCATGCAAGCTAATGTGAGTACACTTGTTTGCAGAGAGCATTATTGTTTCTATTTGCAATTATTGGCCTGGGTTCTAATTTTCAACACTTTAATCTTCAGTCAGGAAAAATACTGACATGCAAAATGCCTCCCTCTCCCTCGCAAACGCTCCAGATCTGAGAAAGTCCACTGCAAGGCGGGGGCGGCGATGTTCTCCATCCGGAACATTTGATTTCGACGATCATCTGAACATAATTAAACAAAGATAACACGATGAGATATCATAATTAAGATATCGGAATTAATATACCCAAATAATATGAAATTGTTGGGATATCAGACTTCACTAACAACAATCAAATTCAAGATGATATATCATGTGGTATTGGAAAGAATAAGATTTAAAGGATACAAATACCTATTGAATTATTGAGATAAGAGATTTAAAATCTTTTTATTTCTTATAAATTTATATATATTTTAGAGTATTAATTATTATAAAATAGAAGAATAAGTATTATTTGTTCTTGAAATTTAAGATTTTTTAAAATTATTTATTGTCTATCCAATAAAAATTATTGACTTTAAGTTTTTCATTTTTACAATTACTTAGAGTTTTACCTTTAATTTATTATTTCTTAAGCTAAGAAGAAAATAACTAATTACCTAAACAACCTTATCAAACACTACCCACAATCTAAACAATCTATTCCATAAATATTCTGGGTTTTGAGAAATAATCAACTGTGTACATACATGACCTCTATCTCCAGCTACTTACTATTTTCTGATCGAAATCAATATACAATAGAAAATGGAATCTTTCAGCCATTGTGTAGCGTGAATGGTTTCCAGATTTATAGCCTGCCTGATAGTGAAGAGCAGCTCAGCAGCTGAGTAGAGTAGCCTGTGCTCTTATAGTCTTCATCAATCATTTTATCTCCCGTGTGGACCCTTTCACGATCTCCCGAATAAAAAATGAAACCCTAAGTGTCTCACCAAATCAAATCCCCTTGGTTCGAAGGAAATGATTTCTCATTTGAAATTTGACCAACATTGTTTTCCGTGGCCTCGAGCTGTCTACGCCACATTAATTATTGGCCAGTAAGGAAAGATAAAATAAAATTATACTGCTCTTGAAATCTACCAAAGCTTTGGATTTGAGCCTGCAGAGCCTGGTAATCCCATGGGCCATGCCATGTTGTTTTTGACCAGAGAACGCAGAACACAATACAGCAGTCAAAAATAATTTATATTTTCTATGTAGATTTCTGAAGGAAACAATGGTGTCTATAAACTAAATTTTTTATTAGTATGCTTTTTTTTATAGGATAAAATATATAAACACAGCTTTGAATAGGCAGTAACTGATTACGCAGTGTTTCGAATAGATAACAACCTTATTTTAAAAAAATATAGCAATTTTATATAAGATTTGATATAATTTTTATAATTAATCAGATTTACATAATTACTGTATATATAAGATTTAATCTGAATAGACAATAATCAGATTATAAAATAATATTTCATCTAGTTCTTTTAATTAATCATATTATAGAATCACAACTCATTATGTTAATATATTCTCTCAAGTTAGAGCATAGATATCAGTTATATTTAACTTGATAATTACTTTTTAAAATGTTAACCCTGAAACAACCATGGTAAGAATATCAGCTAACTAATACGTTGATTGGATAAATGGAAATTGTATGAGTTTTTGATCTAATTTTTCTTTGATGAAGTGATGGTA